AAAAGATCAGCCATTAACCTAATTGGTTTATCACTAAATGTAATCTGCTTCCTTTCTCTTGTGGCTTTTAAAATTCTTTCCTTGTTCTGGAAGTTGGGCATTTTCATTAAAATGTGTCTTGGTGTGGATCTCTTGTGATTTTGCACATTTGGTGTCCTGTAGGTTTCTAGAAAACAAATTTCCATTTCATTCTTCATGTCTGCAAAGTTTTCTAATATTATTTCATTGAAGAGATTTCTCATTCCTTTGTTTGGACCTCTATACTTTCCTCAACCCCAATAACTCTTAAATTTGGTCTCTTTATGCTATCCCATATTTCGTGGATGTTCTGCTCATGGTTTCTTATCAGTCTCACTGTGCTGTATACACTCTTTTTGAGATGATATATTTTGTCTTCATTGTCTGATGTTCTGTCTTCTAAGTGTTCTCATCTGCTGGTCATACTTATATTTGAGTTTTTAATTTGGTTTATTTTTTCCTTCAGTTCCCGGATTTCTGTTTTTTTTTTTTTTTTGTATAGCCTCTATCTCCCAATGGCATCAATCTTTTGCTTCTTGGATTTGTTTATATAATTCATTGTCAAAGTGACCTTTCATTGTCTGCATTTGCTGTATAATGTTTTCCTTGAGACTCCAGATCATCTGAACCATGTATATCCTGAAATCTTTATCTGGCATTCTTTCTGCTGTAAATGTTACGTCTTCTAATGTTGAATTGTCCTGCATTGTTTATGGTCCTTTCTTTATCTTTCCATGCTGTTCATATTTCTTTCCAGCTCTTTGTGACTGCTGTGTTAATGTTTTTCCCTTATATATTTATATTGCTCTTGTATAACTCCAAAATCTCTCTTTTGTGGAGAAAGACAATGTTAATAATTCCCAGTATCAACAATACATCATCTATGAGGAAGCTTTAAAAATTATGGAATGCTTCATGAATTTGTGTATTATCCTTGTGCAGGGGCCATGCTAATCTTCTCTGTATCATTACAATTTTAGTATATGTGCTGTCAAAGTGAGATAGGTTCTAGTTTTGATCGATCTTGTTGGAAAGACAAAGATGGGTTGCTCTAATATAGCATATTGCAGGCAAAGTCGATTCTATACAAAGGAAGATTTTATCCAGATGGATATGGAAACAGAACAATTGCTGAATAAAGAATTCTAGTACTGTATCAAAAGCCTCTATCATATATTGAACACTATGTCTTTTTTTACCCAACACTCTAATGGTGTAGTAATTATATTGTATGTATATTTCTAAGTATTTCAAAATATTTCACTGTATAATGTTGCACCCCTTTATGTGTTAAGGAATTGGTTATCAAATTTTTATTTTCCAAAAAATAAAATGAATCAAAACAAAATGCAATGGATTGCTTATGTTGATACTAGAATAATAAATAAAAACATACAAAATTCTCTATCTTTGACATACACAAATGACAGTTTCAGATGATTTAAGTTAAATAGAACTCAGTGCTTCTGAGACATAGTCTAAGAGTAAGACTACTTAAATCCCACAATCCCTGATATTCTCTTCCTGCCTTATTGATTCAAATACGTACAACTCCTTGACATAAGAACCCTTTGCCTGTTGATGTTTCTAACCTTAAATTAGTCTTAGAGTTGATATATCTCAGAATTACTATGAAATTTTAGAACTAAAGGAAACTTTAAGATAGTCCATTTCAGTCTCTACACTTTAAAAATCATAAATCAAAAGTCCAGACATGAGAGAAAAGTCCCATAGTCAGTTGGTAAAACTTCAATTATTATTGAACTACTTAATATTCTAAGCATATAATCACCCTTCTTTCTCTTATTCCAGAAAAGGTATTTTAGCTGCATACTCCCAGGTTTTTCCATTTTCTTTATGTCTGTCAAAATTGATATGGTTCAGTGATAGCAAAGCTTATCATATCATATTTCATTACAATGCTGAAGATGGTTAAATGTCCTGTGTGTCCTCCATACTACATAAAAGTAAAAAAAATGTCTGATGATTTGTTTCTTCAAAAATCAACTAGCTACAAGATTTTTTCAATCCTGTAATGAGGTTCATCACTGTTGATTGCCTGTGCTCATCATAGAAAAATTTATGGTAAGAGATGCTAAAAGAAGCCACAGTTTATGATATTTTTTAGTGTTAATTATCTTCAGAGACTTATTAGAGGAGAAACCCATATCAGCAGCTACTTGCCTTCAGTGCACTTCAAAGAAATGAAAGCTAACATGAGGCCATGAGACAAAACACAGCACTGTTGTTGTTTTTTAAGGCATGAATGAAAAGAGAACTATATAAAGGTTCCATATCAGTATAGATTTTTTTTAATATTATATGACATATATAACTAGTGTAGTATTCCCCCAAAATATAGTGAAGAAATACATAAAATTTCAGTTATTTGCCCACTTTTCCTTCTCCTCATGGCTCTCCTTATTCTTATTGTCCTTGTATTTCCTTCTTTTCCTTTTCCTCCTCTTTACTTTTCCTCTCTGCTATGATTTTTTTTTTTCTAATAATTGGTTGGTAATTTTCTTTCTTCTTTTGTTTTTTTTATTAGTTGTTCAAGACAATATAATGATCTTGACATATCATACATTTGATTCAAATAGGGTATGAATTCTCATTTTTCCATCTGTACATATTGCAGGATCACATTGGTTATACATTCATGTGTATACATACAGCAATCCTAGTGTCAGTTGTATTCTGCTGCCCTCCCTATCCCCCCTCCCCTCCCCTCCCCTCCCATCCCTATTCTCTACTCATTCTACTGTGACATTTATCTCTCTCTCTTTTTCCCTTCCCTTCCCCCTCACACCATCAAACCCATGAGGGTCTCCTTCCGTCTTCTGTGCAATTCCCCTTCTCCTTCCCTTTCCCTCCCTCCTGTTTTCCTTATTTCATGGTAATCTTCTCATGCTCTTCCTTCTTACTCTGTTTTGAGTCGCCTCCCTTATATCAGCGAAGACATTCAGCATTTGTTTTTTAGGGATTGGCTAACTTTGCTTAGCATAATTTGCTCTAGTGCCATCCATTTCCCTGCAAATGCCATGATTTTGTTATTTTTTAATGCTGAGTAATATTCCATTGTGTATAAATGCCACATTTTTTTAATCCATTCATCTGTTGAAGGGCATCTGGATTGGTTCCACAGTCTAGCTATTGTGAACTGTGCTGCTATGAACATTGATATAGCTGTATCCTTGTAGTATGCTCTTTTTAGGTCTTTTGGGTATAGTCCAAGAAGGGGAATAGCTGAGTCAAATGGTGGTTCCATTACCAGCTTTCCAAGGAATATCCATACTGCTCTCCAAATTGGCTACACCAGTTTGCGGTCCCACCAGCAATGTACAAGTGTACCTTTTTCTCCACATCCTTGCCAGCACTTGTTATTGTTTGACTTCATAATGGCTGCCTTTATTACTGGAGTGAGATGGTATCTTAGAGTGGTTTTAATTTGCATTTCTCTGATAGCTAGAGATGGTGAGCATTTTTTTTGTGTGTACTTGTTGATTGATTGTATATCTTCCTCAGTGAAGTGTCTGTTTAGATCTTTGGCCCATTTTTTGATTGGATTATTCTTTTTTGTTGTTGTTTAACTTTTTGTGTTCTTTGTATACTCTGGAGATTAGTGCTCTATCTCAAGTGTGAGGGGTAAAAATTTGTTCCCAGGATGTAGGCTCCCTATTTACCTCACTTATTATTTCTCTTGCTGAGAAAAAACTTTTTAGTTTGAATATGTCCCATTTGTTGATTCTTGATTTTAACTCTTGTGCTGTAGGTGTCCTATTAAGAAATTTGGAGCCCAATCCCACAAGATGGAGATTAGGGCCAACTTTTTCTTCTACTAGATGCAGAGTCTCTGGTTTGATTCCTAGTTCTTTGATCCATTTTGAGTTAACTTTTGTGCCTGGTGAGTGAACGGGATTAAATTTCATTATGTTGCATATAGATTTCCAATTTTCCCAGCACCATTTGTTGAAGATGCTATCATTTCTCCATTGCATGCTTTTAGCACCTTTGTCTAATATAAAGTAGTTGTAATTTTGTGGATTGGTCTCTCTGTCCTGTTTTCTGTATCATTGGTCTACCCACCTGTTTTGGTGCCAGTACCATGCTTTTTTGTAACTATTGCTCTATAGAATAGTTTGAAATCTGGTATGGCTATACCACCTCTTTCACTCTTCCTGCTTAGGGTCTTTTATTTATCCAGATGAATTTCATGATTGCTTTTTCTATTTCTATGAGGAATGCCATTGGGATTTTGATTGGCATTGCACTAAACCTATAGAGTACTTTTGGTAGTATGGCCATTTTAATGAGATTAATTCTGCCTATCCATGAACAAGCTATATCTTTCCAACTTCTAAAGTCTTCTTCTATTTCCCTCTTTAGTGTTCTGTAGTTTTTGTTGTAACGTTCTTTCACATCTTTTGTTAGGTTGATTCCCAATTATTTTATTTTTTTTGAGGATATTGTGAATGGGGTGGTTGTCCTGACTTCCCTTTTAGAGGATTTGTCACTGATATACAGGAATGGCTTAGAATTATGAGTGTTGATTTTATATCTGCCACTCTGCTGAATTCGTTTACTAGTTCTAGAAGTTTTTTGGTAGAACATTTGGGGTCCGTTAGGTATAGGTTCATGTTACTGGAAATAGTGCTAATTTCAGTTCTTCTTTTCATATTTTTATGCCTTTAATTTCTACTGTCTGTCTTATTGCTATGGCCAGGGTTTTGAGAACTATGTTCAATAGGATTGGTGAGAGAGGGTATCCCTGTCTTGTTCCAGATTTTAGAAGGAATGCCTTCAATTTTTCTCCGTTTAGAATGATGCAGGCCTGAGGCTCAGCATAAATAGCTTTTACAATGCTGAGGTAAGTTCCTGTTATCCCTAGTTTTTCCAATGTTTGGAACATAAAGGGATGGTGTATTTTGTCAAAAGCTTTTTCTGCATCTATCGAGATGATCATATGGTTTTTATCTTTAAGTCCATTGATGTGGTGGATTACATTTATTGATTTCCATATATTAAACCAGCCTTGCATCCCAGGGATAATTCCTACTTGATCATGGTGCACAATCTTTTTGATATATTTTTGTATCCAATTTGCCAGAATTTTATTGAGGATTTTTGCATCTATATTCATTAGAGATATTGGTCTGTAGTTTTCTTTCTTTGAAGTGTCCTTATCTGGTTTAGGAATCAGGGTGATGTTGGCCTCATAGAATAAATTTGGAAGTACTCCCTCTTTTTCTATTTTGTGAAATAGCTTGAGAAGTATTGGTATTAGTTCTTCTTTAAAGGTTTTGTAAAACTCTGCTGTATACCCATCTGGTCCTGGGCTTTTCTTGGTTGGTATTCTTTTGATGGCTTCTTCTATTTCCTTAATTGATATTGGTCTGTTTAAGTTGAGGATATCCCCTTGACTCAGTCTGGGCAGATCATATGACTTAAGAAATTTATCAATGCCTTCACTATCTTCTATTTGATTAGCATATAAGATTTCAAAATAATTTCTAATTATCTTCCGTATTTCTGTAGTGTCTGTTGTGATATTTTCTTTTCATCTTGTATTCTCTCTCTTCTTCGTTAGTATAGCTAAGGGTCTGTTGATCTTATTTATTTTTTCGAAGAACCAACTTTTAGTTTTGTCAATTTTTTCAATTGTTTCTTTTATTTCAGTTTCATTGATTTCAGCTCTGATTTTAATTATTTCTTGCCTTCTACTGCATTTGCTGTTGTTGTGCTCTTCTTTTTCAAGGTCTTTAAGATGAAGTGTGAGATCATTTATTTGTTGGTTTTTCCTTTTTTTGAGGAATGAGCTCCAAGCAATGAATTTTCCTCATAGAACAGCTTTGATTGTGTCCCATAGATTCTGATATGTTGTGTCTGTGTTTTCATTTATCTCAATGAATGTTTTAATTTCCTCTTTGATGTTATCTGTAACCCATTGATGGTTCAGTAACATATTGTTCATTCTCCAAGTGATGTAGGCTTTTTCCCTTC